AGCTCACTCTTGAAAGAGATCCGAAAGGCATTCTTTATCCTTCCTCCGTCCCCAGCTCAGTGCTTTGATAAACACTCCTGACTTTCAAAGCAGCAAAAGAGGAGCCGTATGAAGGGCTCCTTTGGGAAGCAACCTTCTAACCCTGCTCTTCTGCGCCCTAGAAAAGACACTATTACGAGGCACAGCTGGCTGATCCTCTGCCATATGTGCAGATGTCCAGCGAATCTTTGGCACCTACAGTGTGCGCTGGAGACATCTGTGCCCTAATTTGACCTGAAGCAGGCATCCTAACATAAAGAGAAATCTTAAAATGCAAAGACAGCACGCAAAGATAAATCATTGGGTAAATCAGATGAGAAAGCGTGGAAGGAAAGAACCTTTAAAGCAATAGGTAGAGGCTTAGTTTTATTGTTCCTGAAATCGTTATTGAAAGCTGCATGTGTAAATTCCTGTGTGCCATTTTAAGCAGACAGATGCACATCACATTGTGACTGGCATTGGAAGCTCTGGGGGTTGCACTGGTAACCTGCCAGCAGCCTAAGAGACTGCATCAAAATACGCAAAATGCTTAAAATGCAATACTCAGAAGGCCATAACGCTTCTTGACATGTGACTTTCATATAAATGAAAGGAAATTAATTCTCTCCCGGGCTTCAATAATAAAAAGATATCCACTGCTGATGTCTTCCTTATAAAGCATTTCTCAGGTCTGTACAAACCAGCTTCCCAAGCATCTACTACTATACTAGCAGCACCATGAGCCATGGGAACTCTGATCCTGCCTCAGTTAACAGTCAGAAGGACAAAAAAAAACTGCAATGAAAAATCCTGATTCATGAACACCAAATCTTTGAGTTCTTGTGAAAACTGGTGTCTTCTGCTCAGACTTTACAGTAGGGCTTTGTGATCAACAGACACTGCTGCCTGTCTGCTGAGCTTTGCAAACCACACTGACCCCAAACTGTGCCAAGGGAAGGTGACCCGGATTCCAAATAATTAATAACTTCAAGCTCATTTGTAACATCTGGACAGTCTTCTGTGCATCCACACAGCTGTTTGTCTTCAGGTATGGCCAGCCACACACACTGCATGGCTAGCAGTTTTCCAGGTTTCAGGTGTGTTGTACACATATGCTTTACTTTTATGTTTTCCATCACGTTGCTGAAATCCCCACATGGTGCTTCCAGACAGAGGAAGGGCCTGCACACAACTGTAAAGGCTTTGTTGCTTTCCTCCATGCCCTGACGATATGAAACATGAGCTGGTAACATCATTAGCTTTTCCCATGCGATACTAAGCCAGCGTTCAAAAAAAATAATAAAATAAAAGTGTGTGTGCTTGTGGCAAGGGAAGTAAGTGATTGTGACACAGTCTGAAACATATAAACATAACATCTGGAAGCACTCTTCCTGAGTCTGCCTCTTTATCAGACAGATGGCTGGAGAGCTGTAAGCCCACGGGCCTCTCAAAAGGTTCAAGGCCAAGAGGATAAAGTGCTACATCACAGCAGTTTTCCATTATGTCAGTTTTTCTAAATGTCTCTCCATTCTCCCACACTCTGTTTCTCTGCCCAGTTAAGGAGACAGGCACTGCTGCGCTAGCAGAAATCAGGAGCACTGGGTGACTCCGCTCTTGTGCAAAGTAACAGAGTACAACATCCACAGGCAGAGACATCAGCCCAAGAGCAGACTGAAGCAGCTCGTACCAGCCCACCTCTAGGTTTGAAGGAGTAGGAAGAGGAGGCAGGCCTAGATCAGACCCTGTTGCTGCCTCTCAGTGCAGGTATAGGATATCCTGGCTTTAGCAGAGAAGCCAGCTTAAGAAATTCCCCTAACCCTTCATGATCTTACCCTTAATCTACTGTTATCATCCTCACACCTGACATCACACCAGCTGCTGGGTAAAAACAACCTTTGGTCTCTCTCAGAACAGCTTTTATAAGCTGTGATAGCAACCCAGAACACAGCAACTGTGAGACCTTTTACTGAAGCTGCTCTCAGCATAGATGTGGTACATCATAAACCAACCATATTTGCCTTAGACTGGAGCCAAAGGGACGCAAGGCTAAGACACGCAACTGGTAGTAATAGCAAACAGAAGTCTCTCTTTATCTGTCCTGAGGACACATTTTAAACCCACCAGCTGTCCTCCAGACACAAGAAAAAAGGGAAAACAAATGACCAAGCAGTAGTCTGTGTCTTGTTTTCACTAATCAACACACTGTTGCTTTCTTCATCAACAGTTACTAGAATCTCAGCACAAATGGCATTACGAGGCAAACAAACACTGCTGATTTCAGGCTGTTTTCAGTTACTTGCTGTAGTGCTTGTCTTTCTGAATAAATCAAAGTTAAGCTACGGCTTGTGGCTTAGTGGCACAAATTTAAAGAGAACAAATATTTGTTAAAAAACTAAAAAATCATGGCCCACATATCCTCAATATTTAGCCATAAGCCATCATTGATATGATTTACCTGAAAGATGTCCCTTTGTTTTTTATTACTTCCATTACATCATGGCTGTTAGAAGCTGAGTGGTGCTGCACCTGGATACAAACTGCTTGCTTACATCATACTTAACTGCAATGCTTACATCATACTTATATCCATACACTAACACGACTGGAAAGAGGCAAGGAAAGGAAAGCAACACAGCAAGAAAAATAAGTAGCTTTATTGAGTCTGGGTGTTTGTTTTCATGGATATGAAGGGGAAAGAGTGCAGTGGCTCACCATAGTGTGCCTAGGAGAATCCCCACTAAAACAAGCATGCAGAGAAATGCCAGAAGTTCCAGAGTATGTGCTTAACTACATCACACTCCTCATTATGATCAGAATGAATCCTGGGATACAGATTTATCTAGTTTCCACAAGTTTGTAGGAGGCAGCACACCAAGGCACTAAGAATTTACTACGTATTTAAGAAATATTCTGACTTCTCAGCCAGCATGGCATATGCAAAAATATGAAGAGAGAGCCAAATTACACCTGCTGGTTGCAACTACAGAAGACCCCTTGTTCTTCTTTTCTGCTAACTCAGTTCTCTGAGCTATGATAGAAAGAGCTGGTCATGCCAAAGAGAAGAACATGCTGTTATCCTCATGACAAATTGTGTGAATGTTCATGAGGCATTCAAGAAGTGTAAATGTTTACTACTTTTCAGAAACTCTTTGGCAAAGGCTATGGAAAATACCTCTTCCTGCTAAAATTAACCAATACCTATGAATTTGTTGCAGGAAAGGATTATCCTGTGTTGATGCTGGAGCTCTAACATGGTACCTCACATCTATGCTGACCTTGCTACAGAATTGCACATAGCCCAAATGAACTGCCTTGCTAAACCACCCTGAAAAAGTCGGTGGCAGCACAGAAAGAGCCCAGATGGGGGTTGCAAGTCCCGAACAAATTTGATCAACTAACTAGAATGTTTGTGCTCTGCACAGTGGGTTCCAAGTGACATTGTAACTGCAATGCTCACAGCATCCTATGCTCTACCAGTGGGATCCCAGTACTGCACCTAGGTTTCTCCATCCAGCTCTTCCTCATGCATTGACATTTCATTCAAAACTAGGCTTGTCAGGCTTTCAGAAGACAGGGACTATTTACATATACAAATATAGAGAGGCGTTCATTAAAGCATTGACTTTTATTTGCATAATGAGCACTAAAAATATTTTTATAGGTTAATTAGATTTCATGCAAATTATATTAAGAAGATTTAATTTGGAATTCGATAACCCAACTATTATAGCTCTGCAGTTGTAAACACACACATAATTATATGCTGTTCTAAAGCCACCTTTTCCCTTTCAAAACATTTTTTTTTCTTATTTCTGGCAGAATCCAGTGATTTATTTTTACTTTTCATTTTCCTTCCCCTCCAAATTCTCCACTGGAAATCTCACTAGCTGCAGTGTTACCAAGAGTGAAGCACATTGCATCAGTGAGCTGCTCATGACAATGGAAACTTCCACACTGTATGGAAATCTAATGCTTCCCATGCACTCGGACTGGGCACAGAATATAAACGTTCAAACCTGCTCAGTTTTCTGTACCTGAAGGTAGTAGAAACCCACTGCATGGGAAAGCAAGACTAACCTAACATCCAATGAAGATTTTATGCCACTCTTCAACTAACCCAAGTTTGAGGCCAGTAATAAGTGCAGAGCAATTGAAACATCGTTCAGATGTGTACTAAAAAATGCTGGGCATGGACTGATGTACATCAGTTTTCTAAGAGTTCATTAAAATGATACCCAGCAAGAGCTAAATGATTTCCATTGAAACCAGCAGTAAGTGACTACGCTCGGTGTCATGGAAAAGTCAGACTGACTGTAAAAGCACCACTTTTATGTCCATGGAACAGCCAGACCATGTCTCAGCACAAACCCATCACAAAGCAAACACTGGCAGTCCAGTTCATACCTGCTCTCACTGGAGTGCATGGCTCTGTCTGACAGTTACCATACAAAATGCAGAGTACCAGTACTGAGTTACCAGTGCATGGCCTGCTAGTTCTGGAAGAAGTACTGCTTTGCAAAAGGGGATTTTTGCTGTATCGCAAACAAGACACTATATTCTAAATCTTTAGGTTATTTTGTACCAATGCCTGAAAGTTACAGCAGCAAGAATTGTTTGCTTGATGAGCCATCCACAGGGGCTGTGGTACGTACAGAGAAACAAGCCAAACATTATGCTCAGTAAAAACCTCTTAAATTAAGGAATTTATATCCATGTCAAAATGATCCCATCTCCCAAGCCCAAGACCTAACCTATTTTTCTTTTCTTTTCCTAATTTAAACTGATTAATTTTATTACCAGGAAATTGAGATGTCCTGTTACAGATCAGCAGATGGTACCGCAGTTAACGTAAATGTCTCCAGATTTCCAGGCTATAGTTTTAGTAGCTATGAATAGTAGTTATGATCACCATGTCTTCCAACGAGTGAATGCTATTATGGATATAAATGAGCTTCAAGTGCCAAGAATATGGGGTTTCATACCTGTTCCTTGAACTTGGTGCCATCCTCTGACAAATGACTGTTGTGGTTGAATGCTTTCCACCATTCCCCACCTCTTGTTTCACATCCCATTGCTGTGGGTCACTTGTCTTTGCGTTGAGAATATTTACACCTTTCTTCACCTTTGCCCTGTTTGAAACAGAAATTGTAGAAAGCTTTTAAGACGGACCTCCAGGACTATGATTTTCCTAATGTAGCAGAGGCATAGAAGTCTCAAGATATCAACAGTAAGCTAAAAATCAAACATGTTTCTAATCCATCAGTAAATTAAGAAAGTGATTTCATGAATGCGGATCTAAGGCAACCTATTGTGTTTTTTGGACAGAACCAACTAACTGTGTGCCTTTTGATGTTCTGCCAACAGTAGGCTGGAGATATGACAAAAACTTAACTTGCAGGAAAACCTGCCCTTGAAGTTCATTTCTCCATTCCAGTAACAATTTCTTTCAAAGATAAATTTGCCCCAACATAACAGACTTGGTAAGGCTCTGTTCACCTGTATCAGGACAAGTTTGTAGTTCATTGTTGCACAGATGAATATTTCTCTAGAGATTTTTTGAACAATCCATTTATATTTTGTATGGCATTCTTGTAGATACCCATGGATGGATTGTTGCTCTTCTGCCTGGCAAATCCATCACTATGACAGATTTCCAAAGAAATTTCTGTTTCTTTTGAAATCTCCAGCCTGGAGAGAATATTGGTTAAGACAAGACTTTAATTTAGTGGTATTCTTCTAGGATACAAATTTCAGCCACTGTTAGTTGTTATGTCCTCTGAAAAATTAACTGTATTAATGCAGTGATGCCAGTGGCATCTGCAATAACTGTATGGAGGGTTAATTAAAGAACATTCGCTTAATTAAGTAACATTTGTATGAAGTCCCAGTAAAGATGCTATTTGGGCGCAGAACACTTAACTGCTGACCTTCAGCTCTATTACAAAGCATCAACAATAAGCAATAAAGGCAGACCTTCCTTTAAGAGACAGAAGGACAAAATTCCACCAGACCAGAGGACTGACGTAAGACAACGTGAATGCATTTCTTCAGACACTAAACACTTTTAAAACACAGTCATGAATAATTTGAGACAGCGTACTTGTCGTCCTGCAGCTTTTTTGGGTTTGTTTTTTTTTGTTAACACTGAGACAAAACATAATTTAAGGCACTGAAAAAGAAAACTTTGTTTTTCCTCAGTAGAAAAGCAGAGTGCTTAATTCTCTCATTTGCAACATGGAACAGGATGGACCGTCGCAAATCACAGTCTTGTTGTAGCAAAACTAGTGCAAACTTGACAAACCTGACGCATCTCTAGTGCCGTCTATTGAATTACTCAGAAATAAAGCTAGAAAAAGTGAGCAGATAATCAATTCTGTTACTGAAGGTTCATTAAAGCATTAAGCCCCATTAAGCTTTTCAGCATGCAGTTCAAATAAATGAACAATATACAAATAAACATGTCGTGCATAAGAAAACATTGCCACCAGTCCTGACATCTGTGCAAATTCATCCAAATGCTTTGGAAAGTATGTGTTTAAGAAGACATGTGGACGTATTTTAGGATACTACGGTTGCCTAGGAAATGAGGAGGAGTGAAAACTGATCTTTTAAAGACTTTGTTCAGCTGCACAAGATGGGCTTTGGAATGGTATAATGTCAGTCAAAATGAAGTTCTTCATGTTTGAATTTTCAACAGAATTACAACTTCCTCAGCAGCTGTAAATTGCTCTTTCCATCATGTAGCTTGACATAGTCAATACCTGGCCTTTTATTAATTAGGATGGTCAAGGTTAGCAGTAAAATACACTGCCAGAGGACAAAAGACCACAGCTACAATGCCATTTTGTTAATTAACTACAATATGGGGCATTAAGTTGAGTGGTTTTTCACATATGCCATTATATAAAGCCCATTAAAAAAAAAAAAAAAAAAATTCCATACCAGAGTAAAGTAGGTTATGTTTAGTGAGAAAAATCAATGTTGTGATTGCACTTAGCACTGGAATTAGGGTATGAACACCCAGAAGATTGAACTTCCTAAATAAATATGCAGAAGCGCAATTTGCAACTCTCCCTCTAAAAAGGACATTAAGTTTTATATAACAAGGTCAATGGATGAATCAGAATTAAGTCAGACGGTACTGAGCCCCATGCATTTTTAAATGCAATCTGTACCCATATGCTACAAATGTTTTCACTTAATTTTTTATTTACTTAGGGTTTGAGTGCCAGCAAGGAAAAGTCTATTTAATTCCTTAACAAAAATCTATTGACCTTGTTGTATGCTTGTGATTAAATATGAATTTTTTAAAATCAGTAGTGCCAACTTTGTATATAAAAATTTGTAAGTTATAGTTATACCTCAATAAACCCTGAGACCGACGACCTGAAGGCCAAATTGTTCGACTGTCTCCTGTATTTACCCACCTAATCTATGCAATATATATACTCCAGCTCTGTTTACTTAAGTGAATCAGGCACAGAGACAATAAATGGAGATGACAAACAGCTGAAGTACTCCAGGTTCCCTTAGTGCAGGGCTCCCAACTCTGACTGGAAAATCTCCCCTTTGCTGTGTTTGCTTATATCTCCTGAGAGGCATTTGCACAGCTCTACAACCCATATACCAGCACAGCCAGAAGCTGTCACTGGAACTTCCATCCAAGTAGAGTTAGAATCTCCCACTCCAATTTTACTCTTGATAAGTACTCTATTTTCTGTGGGTGTCACTAAGTTCTTCTGTACTCTCCACAGTAGTACTGATGAACACAAGGTCCAAAGCTTGCTGACCAGTAACCAAAGTCCCCTTATCGTTCCTCTGGATCCAAACCCAGATCCTGCTAAGCAAGCCACCTACACATGCACAAAACTTCAAGGGCAGCAGCTAATTTATTTGGATTTGATGAAAAGTTAAGCACAGTTTTTGATCTCCGGTCGAAAGCAGACCTTACAATGGAAAGATAAAAGAAAGACCATCATTAAGAATGGAACAGAACACCAGAGGTCAGCTTCAGTCCCACACTGCTGAGAATTCCATCTGAATGGGATTTTGAAGCTTTACGAACACATGGTAGCCAGAGTGGTAAGACTTTCTTGGTTCAACTTCTAAGGTTGTTAATTCACAGCACAGGAAATCCCTTCCTCAACTTTGTCTCAAAATGACTGGGTAACTTAATTTTCTCTCTTTAATTCTCCCAAAGGAAAAATGATAACATTCCACTGCCTGCAGAACAAGAAAAGTCTCCAGCAGCTCACCTAGATAGCATTACATGATTTTCATCAAGACCAAACAAAGATGTTGACTTATACAATCTCAGAACACATTTGTCTAAATTTGCAATTTCCAACCATATAATTAGTTTCCAATTAGAAGCTGTATACAAAAACTTTCACTTAGCACCTTACCTTCCTAAAGTGTCAAACCTGGAAGTGATGTTTCTAATTCTGCATGCTGATCAGCTGCAGATGAAAATCTTACCGTTCCATTTCACTGTCCTCAAACTACAAGATATCTCAGCAGTCACTGGACATAATAGCATAGAACTGATAAAGAAAGTAACAGAAAAGCAATTGAATCAACAACAGCCAGAGCTGAAGATGTGACTTACAATTGCAAAAGCTCAAGTAACAGTTCCCTATTTAAATTTAAATTTTAATCTTGCATATGTGCTTGTGGCCACAGAAGGGTTCTACCACTTGCAGCTAGTGCTATAGACAGGACAGATTGGTCCCTTCCAACCCTAGTTACTCTATGCTTCTATGATCACCTCTGTTACTGCAAAGGAAGTCACCCTCAAAGCACAGACCTGAGTGAAGATGTGTTGTCTGGGTGTGCTGTGATACAGATAAGAGATCTACCAGCAAAGCAGAGTCTTTCTTCATGTTTCTGCACTTCCCTGGCACAGCCATTGCTGCTTATCTGATCTCTCAGCGATCCAAGCAGGAAGCTAATCTTCTGGAGATTAATGCTAGCACCTTATTCAGGCAAAGAGGGAGCAGGCTTGTGCCTCAGCAGCAGCAGCAGCTGGCTCCAACACTGGGTTAGCAGTTGGCAAACTGCACTCTAAGAGAAAGTTTACGCAGCAGCTTGAGCAGACAAAGCTGCCCTAGAGAATAAAAAGCTAAATCAACACTAAATTCCTAAGATCAGTAAGATCCATAGTATCTGGAATCGTTTTCCAGGCACTAAACCTTCTGGTCCTGTTAGACTGTTTCTTTTCACGGGGTTATACTTAGCTCTGCATCTCCTCATAAATGCCATGCTATTCTCAGCATGCTGTGCTTTGATCTGAGCGCAGCCTAGTTTTAGATCAGTGACCACTACATTGCACAGACAGCGTCTTCAGCTCACATCTGTTGTCCGAGCTGCTGTGCTGGAAGACTTTTCTTTAGGAAACATTCACAATGTAAATATTGAAGACAGATGCAGGTTTGGGTCTAACTGGGGGCAGGGGGATAAGGGCATCTGTGAGGCAGTCCTGGGGTTGTGAGAGCTAAGCATGGGCACGCCGCACCACACCATGCTGGACAAGGGGGAGGAAGAATGCTGGTGCTAAATCCTCTGCATTTCCTCATGTAAATCCCCATCTATTTATATTTTTCAAATTGGTGCTTCAACTTAACAAATACTGACCCCTTTTGGTCAGACTGCTGTGGAGTTTTAATGCTTCTTGCAGTTCTGCCATTAGCTGCCCAGGCAGGGGGAAGCCCTTGAGACTGGAGGTTACATTGTAAGAAATGGTTTTTACCCCATTTCCTGAAATGCTAGGAGCCTCCCCTGCTGGCTGGTTTCTGGGCTTGTTCTACAGCAACTCCCTAACCTTCTTGGGTTTTGCCAAGAAAAATTTCAGCTTCTTCCTGCCATGATTTAACTTCACTCCTTTCCTTCTTTGTTCCCAGCATAAATCAGGAGATTAAAGCCAGCTGCAGGAACCCATAAAACCAGGCAGGAGACTAACCACAGCAATTAAGCAAGATTTGTTTTATTAAGTATGTCTTTTCCCTTTCATCTTTCTATGTGAAATGATTTGCTACATCTCATCACAGCTCTGAATGAACTAGACAGACATGTGTCTTGCAAAATAACGTTCATTAAAAGCCTTGTTGCTGGCCCTAGCTGAGAAGCCACAAGCAGAACAGAAGACTATGACCTAGTTAGCTGTGTCGACCTTCCAAATATGCTCCTTTAATTTGCAAAGTACATGGGCACAGTAAGTGTGATTAAGTGGCTGCAGCCCTGCTTAGGGAATAAGGGGGATCAGATGTCAGCTCCAGGCTTCCTGCACGACTCTGCACCAGCCTCAGGGGCCCTAATTGCCTCCATCCTACCCTAGCAAGAGGATTTCCACCTGTGCTTCATGTGGCCACCTCTTTTCTTTAGAAGTTTTCATTTACAAGCCAAATACACAGGTGATCTCAACTGGGGAATTTAAGTACTAAATGTAGTAGGGAATACACTGCTGCTAATAGCGGTATTTCAAACTTGTTTCCCAGTAGGTAGGCTAGTGTGAAGGGCCATCCATTCAACAATTTAGGTTGCTCTGACTGTTAGATTTACAATATGGGATAATTATTAGTATAATGGAAGACCTTGCTCCTAGGAGCATTTATTTTTCTTCAGGCATTTTCTTTCTCAAGTATCCAGATAAAGCCCTCACAAAACAGTCTATGAAAAAAAGGATAAATTGAGGTATTTAGTCCTCAATTCAGGTCCCTTCACATTTTCTTTTCACTTTTAAGAATGTCGGCCTATTTGAGAAAGCTTTGGGAAAAAAAAAAAAGCCATATCAAAACAAAAAAATTGAAATGTTTCACACGAAAATGCAGTAATGAAATCCTTGAGAACCTCTAAACCAGAATGTCTAAGCTTCTTGAATATAGCTTTAATTCTGAGAGCAGCTGAGGCAGATTTAGTATTTCTGAAACTTCCTCTGTCAGCTGAATTGCACTAAATTCAGCTCCCCCCCAAACTGCATATTTTGGTACTTCACTGTCCATCAAAATTATATAAATTCTTTCCACCGCCTGTGAGGAATCTTGGGATTTGAAATTGCTCAGAGGCTGTTCTTTTATAGTGTTTCTTACATAACTGAAATTCCCTGAGACACTAGGAAAATCAGCTATCTTTTATTTCAATGAAAATAGGTGCTTCAAATCCCTTAGGAAGCTTTGAAGAGCTCAGCTGCAAGGCACGATGTGGATGCTGTCAGCTGTACGTTGTTTTTTTGGGTTTTTTTTTTCCTCCAAAAAACAAATTAAATGTGCTTTGGGATATTCAAATAACAGAGTTTTTGGTTCTGGTCAATTTCCGTGGTTAACTCTTCATTATCATCCCTAGTCCTCTTGAAGTATCCATTGTTTATTTAAAAAGAAAAGGAGAGGGAAACATTATCTGTGAAGCTTGGATGCTACTAGTGAAGTGTAAGAGCTACTCATTTAATGTTCTAATACATCTTGAGGCTACACTGCTTTCTTCAGATCTGAATGTTGATAGACAAACTAAGGAAAGACAGGAAAATACATGTAAATAAAAGCATGAGAGAATGACACAACTACACAATGCAGACAATCCGGATTTGTCTTCCAAGCTGAGAGGAAGCCCAACCTGAATTTACAGCCTGTTAACATAGCCTTTCAGCAAAGATAAACACTGTAGGCTTCTAATGCTCACAGAAGCTACAACGGGGCTGCTACTATGTTTAACTTGCACACCTGAGCTCATCCTGCTTCATACAAACAGCCACATCTCAATTTAGGAATCTCTAATTTGTTCTCAAATCCACCAGCTGAGCATTTAAACTCATGGCAGCTCACAGGGTCTGTAAGCATAGGGGACTTCTTGGCTACAAGAAGCTGCCCCTGCCTTGGATAACTTATAATTCTTATATTTTTGCAGTGCTTGACGTTGGCATCCCAAAATATAAAAATCCTTTTTCGTTAGGAAGGATGGAAATTCTGTTGCGACATTAAGCGCTGTTCAAGGATGGATCAGAAAGATCTTCCTTTCCCAAGAGTTTACCATATAACTATTATTCAGCAGAAGAGAAGGTACAAATCTCTACAAAAATAAAGACACAAGACTGCTCTTTGATCCTCATTTACATCACACTTCATCTGTTACTCACAGAATTAGCAGCAAAACCAGGCTGACGAGGAACGCAGTTGGAGCTCTTCCTGAGACAACCTAAGTCTTGCAGCAGAGTTACAATAACTGCTGTACTTGGTGTGGGGAGCTTTTCAGACACTTAACCTTAACCGAAGAGGGGACAGTCTGAGTTGGCAGTTTTCTTGTGACTCATTCACCCTCCACAATACTTTAAGGAGTGAATGAGTGGAAATGCTCTTTTACGGATACAAGCCAAAGATCCATTTCATGGCCCCCATGAGGAACTGAAGGAAGTTACGCATAACCACATCCAAGTAAGACTCCTGAAAAGTTCATTAAAGCTGAACACTCATTTATAATGAGTTATTACTCCTTATATAAGCAAACATTGGAAACTACGCTTCCCGGCTCTGTTGAACAGTGAGCTGGACTAAGCAGATCTCACACCAAAACATGCTTGCAGAGAGAGACAGAGATGGGTGTTAAGTAAACAAAAAGCTACCATGGTGAATCCAAACTGTAAATTCAGCTGCATGTGCTTAATGCAAACTCACTGCCTTCACAGATCCAGTTCAGAAACTAGAACCACTTTTTGGATAAATAAATGCACTGAGATTTTATTTGCTACTCCATGCAGTTTCCCTTATTACAAAAAGATCTCTAAGCAGCATATCTGTGACATTCTCCCATCTGGGAGAGCAATAGCAGTGCTGAGGAAAATACTTATGTTTGCAGTAGTTATTAGGATTATTACTCAGACCCCAAGTGAGTTTTTGAAGTAATCTTCCTCTGCAGTCCCTTCGTGTTTCTAATCCCATCTGCAGTCCCCCTTCAGCAGCTGTTATGGATGCAATCTTGCCATCAGCCATGAAGCATGAGGGCTGTGTTTCCTTTTCTCCTAGAGAAATGTAATATTTCTGAGATCAACTGCCAGAAAGAGAAAGGGGCAGGCATCCTTAAAACACCAAGAGAGGAGTTACTCAGCCAAAATTTCTTTTGAATGTTATCTACTATACTATGTGTGTTTTCAAGTGCTTAAAAAAAAAAGGGGGTCTAGTTAGCAGGTGGTTCACCCCCAGGATGCAGCACTCTTTTGTACTCAAATCAGTCTAGCTTAAATTGACTCAAGGATGGAACATTTTAACACTGTCCTGGAGAAGATAACTCCCCTGATGTCCTACACAGCAGGATTTTGCTGACTCTGCAGGTGCTATCATAACTTGTGCTTCCATCCATTTAGTCCTGCCTCCTCCCCATCTCTTTGAAGTACTGACCAGCACCAACCAGCCAGAAACCGCCTTTTGGCACAGACGAATCAACAAAGGGGAAAGATTGCTAAGAAAGATAAGTGGAGATTAAAATGAAAGTTATGGCAACAGGTTTCCTTCTTATCCCTTGTATTCCATTTGCTTTGCTCATCACAGTCCTCACACTCACAAAGAGTCACTGTAAGGCACATTAATGCTGCTGCTATTCTTGCACACCTTGTTTCTAATCTGTATGCTAAGTGTGAGATAGTAATGCTACAAACATGGTCTAAGGGGATATGCAGACAGAACTGCTAGCTTTTATGTCTGAATTGAGTCTTTAGTAAAAGCTGCCAGTGATCTACAGCCTCCAAATTAGGTTCTTTCATGCTTTAAGTTTACCCAGTAATAGCACAGAATCTAGCTTCCTGAGGCAGTTGTAGGTAGTTTGTGCATTTAAGCATAGGTCTAAAGCCCTTGAGATCAGCAAATCGTTACAGAAGCAAGCACAAATGCTGCTGCCTTGGCTCAGATTCCCACAGCATACATGGATTTGCACAGGGCCACCAGCAGGAGCCAGAGCCAGTGGGCACTGCCAGCAGGAAGGGCACGCAATGGAGACTCATGGCTCTGGAGTGAGAAAACAATGCTAGTAAATTACAAATGAGTTGTGGCTTAGGGAGTTCAAGTAAGGTAGAAAACTACTCCTCTCTTCCTGCAGATTCTTGGGTAGTATAAGCCCATATTCCTCTTTTTTTCAGAGTGACTGAGTGGAGAGGCTGATATTTTTCTGACCATAAAGAGATGCTTAAAAACCTGATGTGTTTTACCTTGCATGAGGTGTATATGCTTGTACATATGTACACACAGTATTTCATATAAAAAGGTTTCTTGTTTCTATCCATTCTATCTTTTCCTCCTCATGTCTCCTATTTCCTTTTTCTTGGCTTTGTATTCCTCTGAAGCTCCCCTTGTAACACTCCTTTTCCACTTCTCTCACTATGTTCACCTTGCTCTGTCATTTATAGGTTTCTCCAGCCAGCCCAGTCACCACCCTGTTGCAGTGAACTTACACCCTGCTCATCCCTGCTTCTCTTTAGCTGCACTGACAGGTAACCTCAAATCCAACCCTAGAGACTCAGCTCATTTGTTTGGATTCAGTTTGCAATTGTGTCATATAATAGTAGAGGTGTTATTTTATTCTATTCTCCAGCAGTACAGTTATTTTCAGTAAGCATGGACTTAAGGCCCATTCATTGAAGCTGCCAGATTCATTTGGAAGCCTTTTTCCACTTCCCTTTTGTACGTGTTCAGTTTGTTTTATTTCAGGCTCAAGTACAAAACTGCAACAGCAATTACTGCTGCAGAACACCTCAGCCATCTCTGTGCTATGTGATCACAGAGGGCTGTACACAAAGTCATCTTTTAATACTAATTGCAGATTATCAAAGAAAGGATTTCTCCTATAGAAACACGCCAGCAAGAGTTAAAAGATACAAATACTACAGTCAAAATAAAAGCGTGACTTGACACTTTTTTAAACAAGGCACTGTTTGCCCTTTTCTAAAGGCTGAGAAGGCTTTTCGTGGAGATAGGATTGCCTTAGGAGTGAGCAAGAGGTCTGCGTGCTAGCAACCAAGAGCCTTTTGTTCATTGCTGCACAGCTACAGGAGCAGAGGTTCTACACCTTTGATTCACCAGGCCCATTTAGGTCATCAATATCATCTCAACAAACGTTGTCTGACGTGCCCAAGGGCAACAGTTCCCTTGGGCTGCCATCAGCCATTTTAAAGACCTATTTTTGTTTTAGGCTGAACCTGCATTCGAGGACAACCGTGGACTTCTAAAGCCATAATAAACACTGAAGACTAAGAGGTCAACAAACTGCTGATCTCCTCTGACACACTGTAGGAATCAATGGGAAGATTCTGGGATGTATCAAAAGAAAACCAGCTGTTGGTGAAATCCAGGGACAACAGCTCCTAGAGGCAGATATTAAGGTCACGATACATTAAAAAAAAAAAAGAAAAATAAAATACCCACAAGATGAAATGGAACAATATATTTATAACACTTTGTGTTTATTCCTTTTTTTGTGTGTAAGGATTACAAATCAGCATAAATTGCGTTCCCTTTCTCATCTCCTGGGGAGTCTTTTCTCCCTCCTCCATGACTCTTCCTAAAAGTCATTTCAATTTATCCAACTGCAGCCAGCTACTAACTGCAGGGATGAAAATCATTTTGTTTCAGCTTGATGCAGCAGAAAAGCACTAGACCTAAATAGCATATGACAGGGCAGAACACAGGCACCTGATTTAGGGTTGCACAGGCTTCAGCAGCAACAAAGGATATGCTTTCTGAAAATGCTGAAGTAGCTACTCCCAATAGTGCCTGTTATCACACTATTAACAGACAAAATGATACTTTCAGTAAATAAGAGAATGCATGCACACATAAATACACATGGCAGCCTCTTGCAATCATACATGAAGTGCTGCTACAGAACCTCATTTCATGCCCTCTAAGTTCTCCAGCCTTCTATGCAACCTCAGTTTATAGTTAAAGCCATCTGTGGACATAAGTCTCATGTGGACACCAAGCCATCATGTGGACATCTGTGGAAAAAAGGTTGGAAATGTCAGAAGTGCATTACAATGGCTCAGACAGCAGCTGCTGAACAGGAAGAACACATATATATAGCATCATACACCCTTCCTTCGCTTCCCTCTTATTTGGAGGCACCTGATTCATGCCTTTCAGATACATAGGACTGGTGAAGCTGGTACACGTTCTTTTTTTTTGGGGGGGTGGGGGGGTCAAAGTCCACAGTGGGTTTGTACTACGCTGGGTTTGTAGCGATCCTCCACTCCATGTCTTATTCAACGAAGTAGGTGAGAAAACCTTGGCCTATAGGCTCCACCACAGATGGAAGCAAAGCAACTGGATTACCTGTGCCAGGCACCCTGCTGAGAGCCAAGGTCACCAGGAAAAGATTCTCAAAGAATGAGAGCATGGCCCTTCCTCCTCCAGGCAAATCAATGCCTCTTCCTTTGTTCTTGCAAAGCTTTGCACCCTCTATGCTGGCTGGGAAGGGCTTACCCACATTCCAAATGCTGGCTGGTATGGGCCTGATCCTGCAGTCCTTGCTATCAGCAAGCTTTGCATTGACCCGAATGAATTCTGCCTGAATGTGGACTGAAGGACTGTTTTCTTCACCAGCCAGCTGAATTAGAGCTGCTAAACAGTGCTTTTAGTTACCATCTAATTTTATCTGTCACTATCAACCTGCTCTCTGAATCTAATTTTACTAATTTTTAGGAATCTTTTCCCTCCTAATCCTATTAAACAGTTGTTGGTTAAAAAGATTATGGTACCACGGACCCAGAAAAAAAACAAACAAAAAACAGCACTCCTGGCACCCATTTCTACCCCTTTGTCTACCAAAAGTAATACACTGATCCCTGAAAAGTCTTCACCACTTTGGAATTTCTTGGAAAATAGATGCTTATTTTTTGTCTTTTTGTGAAGCCCCTCAGGCTGGAATTTCCCAGCCCCATTTGCAAGGGTGGCATTTGGAAGACCAGTGACCTATTTCTTTTATTTTTTATTTATACCTCTGCTATTCACAAAGCTTAAGGCCCCAGGATGAATACATTTTCCACAGTGCATGCTGGATTCTCTATCAGCTAATGCCATTTTGTCTAAAGCTTCTGGTAAAAATAAGGACTGCGAGCTGTGCTGCAGTAATACCAAGGGTAATGCGATGTTCACAATGGCAATAAATCCATCGGGTGAATGGTAGGGGGAGATTTACTTTCTACTGATAAAGCAGAGAGCTGAGAACTGGGAGGTTAGGAAATCATTACGGTGTGGGAGAGGGGTTTAAAAGAACAAAATCGCTGTACTACACTGTTTGTATTTCAACTTTTACAAATGAAGTTTAATGAGGGAAGGAAAGCAGGGAAGCGGTGTTTTTGTTCCTATAGCAGAATACTCATAGTACATTCCCATTATTAGACTTTTGATTGCCCTCTATATACACATTAAACGGGGCTTCATAGCAGCAGTAACATTATGAACTTTACCTAAAATAAGAAGCCATCTTACAGAAGCGGACTGAAATGTGTATGCTGATCTCTGCCCTCTCACCGTGGATTCCATATGAGAATCAAAGGCTGCTTTCACTGACAAGGCTGAGGCCTACAGGCACACAGCTTGAAAAATAACACCACCTTTTCATTTGTAAGCTGAACAAATTTAATGTAGAAGCTATTGATGGAAAATGAACTTAAAGCTTCTCATTTCTATTTTTTCCAGGGTGGAACTGCACTTCAAGTCGCAGGCTTTATTAATGGAGTAAGTGCATTTCTCTCTCGCAGGCCTGAAAATAAAGTGCTGAGAAGGAACATATGGAATATGCCTTGGGTGAGAGATTTTCTTCTGATATTGCTGTATATCTAATAGAATTGAAATCATGGCATGAGTGCACGTTTCTATGAAATGTTTCACAGAGGGTGGCCAAGAACAGAAGCACCCAAAGATCACAGATATTTATGTAATATTGTAATCTCAGCTGTTCAAATTATAATGGTTTGAAAGAATCTAAGGAGGGAAAGAACCAGGAGTCTTTGAAACGCTGCAGGAAAGTTTTCCAACAAACAGTCTCATACATCAAACCACTTGGAACTGCAGCACTCGCTACCATCTCATATTTCAGCTCTTCAGCCACAAACTGTGATCTACAAACTTGATACAGTGCCTGTCCCCCCCAACCCCACCTCAAAATGAAGAAGAATTAAAATGTTTACCTTTCCAGCTTTGGTTTTCTCTGCACAATAACTATGATATGAAACAGAAATTTCTCCCAGGTCCAAATTCATATTTTGGCTAATAAAATGGAGTAGAAACCACAATCTGAAGAGAGCAAGCAAGGAAAGAAACTCAGATCATCGTTTGAATGAATTGGTGGAACTGCATTTCACACAGTGCGTTTCTGTCTTGCAGCCAAGTCGTGCCAGCAGTGCATAGACAAGCTCTGGGTGCACAGCACAACTCAAGTGAGTGGTAGCACAGCCCCAAGCAGAGCCTGAGTTATGTAAGAATTGCAGTGGAAGTGCACAGATTTGCCCTACCACTCAGGACAGTGAGTTATTTCTGGGTACAGCATTGGACTGATACAACTTTTCAGTCTTCAAGGTCTGAAAGCCTGCACAAAAGTGCACTGGGCTGAGACAACCAGAGTTGCAAAAATCCTCTGCTCCAAGATAAGCAGAAAGGACAGTGAGTTGGCACCCCAGGAAATAAGGAGGGGCTGCATGAAGCACCTGACACACTCTGCTATCGTTCATGACAGTTGAAGTCCCATCTAGCACTCATAGAGCCCATGCGTTACCTAACACTCGATGCAGAACCTGTAAAGGAACATCATCATCTAATGAGCAAAAGAGTTGGAACAGAGGTTTCGCTCCTCAAAACCCCTGGATCAGATAAAATAAAGTCATTTTTTCCTTTTGATGCCTGTGTGATACTCCTCAAGTAATTTCTAGCAAGGAACTGATTTGATGATGCCCATTACCATTAAGCAACAGGAGTTCTATTTAAACCGTATGTGTACGTGGCACCTTATGCACAATAGTTAACACCAGCAACATGCCTTGTAAAGTATTAAGAATACAAAAAAATATCTGCTCTGTAAATGATCTGGCAGCACAAAAAATGGTTTGCACAAACCCCAGTTTCCATTATACGCATCGCTGTGTTAAAGGACACATGTGGCTGTTCTGACTCTGAAGCAGAAATATAATTTATTAAATGGAGGAGACAATGAACAACAAAATTTAATAAGCCAAGTTGCGATTAATGCCCTGCTCCCTTCTGAGAATTTAGGTAATGAATCTGATTTTACACTTCAGGTTTTCGACAATGTCTGCGGAGACAGAGTAATGGAATGTCCATTACTCCAGAGTAAGATTGCCATATTCTCATAAAATGCTTTGTGATTGTATAAATGGCACCGAACAAAGAAAAATCAAGAGCATATAGCACATAAAATGTCCATAGACATCGTGGTTTTTTTTTCTATTCAGCGGAATGCAGCAAATGAAAGCAGAGAACTGGAGGGCATCTTAAGAGGCATTTGTGCACTTCAGCATTTCTCTCTGTCTTACCTGAAGGTGCTTGATAAATCCAGTGCATATAAATAAAAAGGAGAGGGGATGGAATGTATGCGATCCTTGGTGCCGATGCTGACTTTTCATTCGTAGTGTTCTATTTCTATGGTCCATATTAATATTATTTATAGATGATTATCAAAGGTGTAGCACTCGCAGACAGGAAAAGCATTTTTGTTTACGACTCTCAGCACACTCACACCGTTTTGCAGAGGGCAGGCAGCTCAGGAAGGCTGAAGGACTTCCCCAGGGTCATAGACTGACTGCTCGGGAAATGAAGGAACAGAAGGCACAAGACTTGACTCCTTCTCACATACTGCCTTGCACACCATACAATCTAATGTTATCAACGACTGGTTTGTGTGTTTGAGTTGGGATTCTGTCCATTCATAAGAAGAGATATCTATTTTTTATTGGACTCCCCAAGAAAAAGGCCTAAGAGCAAAAAAATGACAGCTAAAGCAAAACCACTCCACTTCGGATATTACATGTCTGGATGAGATATTACTGATAAAACTTAGCAGTTTCCTTCCATCATACTCCACAGCCTTCTAAGCAGATAAAGGATTCCGGGTCAGAGACATTTCCCAAGCCAACTGTGGAATTCCAGACAAACAAATAATGAAGGCTGAGCTTTCTGATATCTCTATCAGGATTTTTTTATTCCCTGCTGCTACAATTGATATTGACACGGTCATTTTCTCTCATATTCTCCAAATTATTCAATTTATGAAACCATCAGTCCTTCATGACATCCAAAGCAACTTTTACAAGGTGGAGATCCAATTTTTTTTTAGCATGTCAAAATGATGTGATGCTTTCAAAAAAGCCTTAGAAATTTTGCAGGCATTTCCACTCCCCATTTCAGGATGGAATAAGCTTAATGAATGGTACAGAACTGCCTTAAAATAAACCTTGCCTCTTTCTGATGAGCCTTTACCTCACCTGAAGTGAAATTCATTCCCTTACAGACCACTGGCTTGAAGCCTATTCACCATTTAAGTCTTCAAAATAGGATTAGGGGATTTGAGAAGCACAGAAGCTTTGCATTTTCCAACTCATTTCTTAATGAATTTTTTGCATTAATAGGAGGAAGTGTTACAACTGAGCATACAGCACAGGGAATGCATGAGCTCTGCAATATTGAGCAACGAAACACTGCTTACTTTTGTGCTGAGACAAGATTTGAACTCAAATGCACAGGAGTGAAAACTAAGTGACACATTTTTCCTACCTTTTCATTATTATAATGCATTTTGCAGCTTGCTCTTTCAATCTGATACTCAAAGCCAGCCTTGCACAGCACTGAGCTTACTACTTTTTAGGTAGAACTAACTTAGAAGCAGTTCCTGGCAGTGCCAGTGACCCAGAGAACCCACAGACAAGAGAAGAGAAAAATCATCTGTCCACATTAATTAGCAGCCATTTACTCCTTTTTAATTAGC